CTGTGTGGGGTGGAGGTTCTGGCGTGACGTGGGACGTGTACCCATTGACCCACATGCCGTCTCCTAGATACGTTGGGTCATTAAGCCTTCATGAGCTGCTCCTCAGTGCCAGGTTCTGTGCTGAGGACACTAACTATTTAGGCCTTGATTTGCTCAGGGTTGGAGGGAGCCCACATTCTGGGTGGGAGTTGTGAGCTGGTTACAATACAGAACACAACGCTGTGAGACTTAACAGTGGCGATGACAAGAGTAACCCTCACGGGGCACCTGCTGGGTCTCAGGCCCCTCCTCTGACCTTCCGCACCGCCCTCAGAGGGGGGCCCATGCTTGGGGAGTTGAGGCCTAGAAAGGGGTCACACAGACACGTGAAGCAGAACTGGGGCTCAAACGCAGACCTGTGTGAGCCAGAGCACTTTTTCACTACTATTTACTGCTTGGGGGTAGAAGCCTCAGAAGTTTCAAGGAGTGAACCCATACAGGGGACTGAGGGGAGGCTTTGTGGTGAAGTTAATGCCTGGGTGGGTGCCATGGCCTCCCCTCCCCTCAACTCTGGGTAAAATCAGAGACCTGGGGAGACCCAGGGTATGGTTTCTGATTGCCCATCAGTGAGGTGAGGGGGCTGACAGGTCAGGCTTGGCCCTTCAGGTGGGGCTGCTTAGGGATCGTCTCTCTTAGGCAGGGGCACCACCCTGTGGCCAGTAGCCTCAAGGAGCCACTGTCACCTCCCTGCTAACCCAGATGCTTCACACTGAAGCTTCCAGGGACAGCAGGACCCATTCATCTCCTTTTAGAGACGTGGCATCTGGCTGGCCGCCACCCTTTCTCCCTCCTAGGCTAAATGGGTCTCTTCCCTGGCTGAGGCTACATACTCAGTATAGGGTGGGAGCGACACCTAGTGGGCCTTGTGAGAATTAGGCAGCTCTCAGCCCAGGGTGGCTGTCACTACACAGGTAAACTTCCATGCACAGCGTGGGGGTGTGGGAAGTCAGCTTGTTGGATAGGTGAGTGGGCAGTTATGTGGGAAACCGTGGGGGCAGTTGGAGAGACTGGGACCTTGGCCTTTGCCAGCTTCTGTCTGCCCCTCTCCCCCGACCCCCTGCCCACCCATCCCTCCTAAAAGGTGGACCCTCAGAACCTCCCTGACACCCCTAGCTTTGTCATTGACAAAGACCATCTGTATCCCACATTTCATTTCGTCCCCATAAAAGCCCTGGGCGAGGAAGAACTCCGACAGTCCCATGTTGTAGGTGAAGAGACGGCCTGGGGGCGGCAGCAGGCCCTGGCCATCCTGTGGTGGATGGTGCTGAGGTGCAAGCCTAGGCCTGTCCAGCAGGTGGCTGGTACTCGGTGATGGGATTCCAGACACCGAGAGGCTTAGGCATGTGGGAGGGGCAGGGCACTGCCGGGCCCTTGGTCCCCTCGTGCACCCATACTAACTCCAGCTGTGCCCACAGCTCCTGTGCAGAGCGGGACGAGTGGCATGGCTGTCTGAGCAGAGCCCTCCCTGAGGACTACAAGGCCCAGGCTCTGGCTGCCTTCCACCACAGCGTGGAGGTGAGTGGGGGCCCTGGGATGCTCCTGACACTGACCACACAGCCCTGGGTTTCCCTGGGCAGGCAGCAGCCTGGGAAAGACATACCTCTGCACCAAGGCGCTGGTCCGCACTCCCTCCTCTCCTGCCCCGTGTTCACTGACTCAGGCAGTCACCATGCGCCCCAGCTCGGAGCACAGCGCCTCTTCCTGGCTCTGTTTCTAAGCCAAGATCTGCTTCTTGGGGGGTGCAGGATGGGGAGGGGGAGGTTATAGAATTAGAATCCACCCTGCCCCCCACATATACATACCCTGTACAGGAAAGGGGGTGCCCATCCAGCCTGTCTCCTGACCACACCGCTTGGCTCCATTTCATTGCTCTAGATAAGGGAGAGGCTGGGGGTCAGCCTTGGGGAGAGACCCCCCACTCTGGTGCCTGTCACACATGTTATGATGTGCATGAACTGCGGCTGTGACTTCTCCCTCACCTTGCGGCGTCATCACTGCCATGCCTGTGGCAAGGTGAGTCGCTCTGTTGCGAGGGAGTATGCGCATGGGGGTGGCACGGGGTGGGGTTTCAGGGGCATCCGGCAGCTATTGCATGCTGGCCCAGGGCACAGAGTGTTCACACCAGCCCCTCGAGGTGGGGACTGTTAATGCCCTTTTACTGGTATCCTCAAACGTTGGTTCCAAATGCTGCGCCCCTTCCACAGCACCACCCTGTTCCCAAAAGAAAATCGTAGCAGATGTGGTTTTTGTTCTTGTAAAAAAAAGTATCTCGCCCTGGCTGGGTGACTCGGTTGGAGTGTTATCCCATACACCCAAAAGGTTACAGTTCCATCTCCAGCCAAGGCACACACCTAGGTGGCAGGTTCTATCCCCATTCCGGGCACATACAGGAGGCAGCCAGTTAGTGTTTCTCTCACATCTCTCTCTCTCCAATTCCCCCTTCCTTTCTCTCTAAAAATCAGTGAACGGATCCTTCAGTGAGGATTTTAAAAAGTACCTGCCATGGGTAAGGGCTCATCAGAAAGAGACAGATGACCACCTGTACAGAAGCTCTGTGCAGCTGCTCTGGAGAAGCAGCGGGCCTGGCACAGCCCCTGGAGGAGGTGGGGGCGGGAAGGCAGAGGGGAGAGGATGCTGGCCCTCTGTGCGTGCCAGGAGGGTGAGAACCTCTCTGACATGCATCCGCACCTGGGCCTGCAGATCGTGTGCCGGAACTGTTCCCGAAACAAGTACCCTCTGAAGTACCTCAAGGACCGGATGGCCAAGGTCTGCGATGGCTGCTACGGGGAGCTGAAGAAGCGGGGCGGGGATGTCCCAGGCCTGATGAGAGGTAACGGGGAACCACCCTCCCCTCCTTCCAGGTGGCCCATGTGACTTCTCCCAGGCCTGTGACAAGTTCCTTAAATCACTTTCCCTGGAGGCTCAAAACAAAAGCAGCCCTCAAGGAGGAACTAGGGGTTTAAATTCACACCTGGGCACCATTTCCCAAAATGCTGGTTCCGAGGAAAATTGATAGGTGCTCCCAGAAGAAGGGTTCCATGGGCAGCCAAGATTGGGATATGCTGGGTCAGTGCCTCTCAGCGATGGGCCAGGTACCCGGGGTGCTCCTGTGTACTTGGCCACAGCAGCCCTCTTTTCTTTCCAAGAGAGTTCTGTGGGCCCCTGTCTGGACAAGGGTGTGAGCCGAATAGCAGAGTTGGGGGTCAGGGCAGGGCTGAGCATTCTCTGATAGAGCCGCCTGAGGAAGCCAAGCTGGCTCTTGAGAGACTCTGCTCAGGCGACAGGCTTTGCCCAAGCAGGGTTGGGCTGGGGGGAGAGCAAGCGTGTCCTGGGCCTGAAACCAAAGAGTTCTCCTCTGGGGCTACTGAGACCATTAGAGAGGACAGCCCAGCCCCGGCCTCCTGGGGGCCTGGAGAAGAAGGGATAGCCAGTCCCCAGGGAAAGCCTTCCCTTACGACCCCCAGGGCCTTTGTGTCAGTAGAAGGGAGTGTGCCCACTTTTCTGGTCACACTTAAACACCACGGTGAGGCTGGTTCCCATCTCGGGAAGGACTGGCAGCTGATTTACAGGAACTGGCATTCCAGAGAATTGGCGTGCCTGTCCACGCGGACACTTACCCCCTTTCCCCTTAACTGTCTTGGTTACAGAGCGGCCAGTGAGCATGAGCTTCCCTCTGTCCTCCCCCCGCTTCTCGAGCAGTGCCTTCTCTTCGGTCTTCCATAGCATCAATCCCTCGACCTTCAAGAAGCAGAAGAAAGTCCCTTCGGCCCTGACCGAGGTGAGGCAGGTGGGACTGCCTGCACGGGCATCAGGGGGTTTGGAAGGTTCATAGTCCTTCTCTGGGAACAGTGTCAGACGCCCCTCTCCTGTAGCCTGACTGGGCTTTTGGGACAAAGAGGACACTAATGGGAGACATTTTACAAGGACTGACTCGCCACCAACAAGGGCAGTGCCTGTCTCCCGGGCATGACTGAGAAGGCGCCTGCTCCGTGGCAGAGGGCAGGACCCGGAGCGGTTATAGATGGTGTTGGGGGCCACCTTCCGCTTCCTCCTCTCCGCCTGTCTTGCCCAGCTCTTTGTGTTTTCCTTTCTCTCTCCTGTCCCACAACCTGGACCCAGCACCCAAGGGTGCAGCATAGATCACTGGGGCTTTTCTGACTCAAGCAGCTACAGTCCCGGCTTAGCCCTCCCGCGGCTGGCCCTCTGAGCGGCACCACCCTCTCACCCTGGGGGTCCCATGCAGGCTCGGGTGGCAGGCCCCCAGGAAGCTGCAGCACTCTTTGCAGGAAACTTCAGAATTGGCTGAGCTCAATTTCATCCTACAAATAGGACCAGGCTTATACCTCTGAATTCCAGTCACAACCACAAACAAATGTGCGCTATGAATATACAAGCTGTTGAAAGAAGTGTGATCGGCTGTTTCCAAGTTTTCTCATTAATATTCATTATTGAGTAAGCAGATGGCAAGGGTTTAAAAAGTGTTAGGGGATGAAAAATTTTAATGGGTACAGTTCTATGCAGTAACTTAACTCCTTTTGCATATTAAAAATCTTGGGAATAGCACATGCATGGTAAAAAAAAACTTTTAAAGCACAAAAGAATATGAGATGAAAGTGATTTTCTCCCCCTCTGCAAATTCCCTCAGGCCTATTTACCCCAGAGGTAACCACCATAAAGTTTCTCACAGACTCTCCCAGAAACTTGAATGTGTATACATAATGAAGATGTACATTTATAGAACCTCTTTTTTACCCAAAAGATACCACATTACCCTGAATCTTCACTTAATTTCTCTTAGGTATTAATTCCTATTTGTTCAGGCATATAAATCTCACATTTTACATCATACAGTTGTCCCGTCATTTATTTAACAGTCCCTTTCCAGAAAACAAGAAGAGCTCCCCCACCCCGTCCCTCTCCTTGACCCTCCCCCCATCCCTCCCCCTGTGCAGGTGGTCCACATGAGCCAAGCTCACAGACCCTGAGCGCTCTGTGGGGACGGAGTCTGAGAGCCGCTGCTGTGGTCCTTCCACTGTCTCGCTGCTCTGATCCTATGGCCATGTTGATCTGTCCCAGCCAGCCCCTTGGTCATTGTTGCCTAAAGTGACAACCATTTTATTATCCAGCAAAGGCTGTGCTCAGTGGATCTACAGCTGCCCCAGGAGAAATATGCCCAAGTCCTTCCCCCAAGAGGGCCACCTCACCTGCTCCCCGTGAGAAAGTCTGTAGAAATGCTGTCCCCCAAGCATCTGTCAGAAAGGGAGGCTGCAGAATCGGTTTCCCCTGCCATGTGCTGTGTAGGCTGCTGTGAGGTGTTTCAGCATGGCAGGTGTAGGGAAAGAGAGCCCATGTCTGGGGTAGAAGCCCTGGACTTGTGGAGGGCAGGTTCCTTTCCTATGCTTCTCAAAATAGCCAGAGCTAGTCACAGCCTCCTTTCCCTACGCTGAAGTTTCATTGACCTCTGAAGTGTTTGCTGAGAGGTTCAAGTTCTTGCCTCTTTTCAACTAAATAGTGACTTGACCTTTGATAGACCTCTCCATTTCTGCGGGCTTCAGTTTTCCCATCTGTAAAACAAGAAAGTCAAATGAAATGATTCCTAATCCTGGCCACCTTGCTCTAACAGGAAGGTTTATATTTATGAAGCACCTACGTTGGTTAGTCCCTGTACCTGTCAGGTAGGTCACTTGGCTTATGTCATTGAATTCTAATTTAACCAGTAAGGAACCTGACACAGAGAAAGTAAGTAGATTGCATGACATTACCGGTCTGTAAACTGGGAGCACCTTGACTGGAATCCTAGAGCAGTATTACTGAAAGCCTGTGTTCTTAACCCCCACATAAAGCGTGTCCAACAGATGGCTGCTAATAAGAAGGCAAGGAATTACATCCCATTAGGCAGGAGACGAAAAAACCTTTAGGTAAATAGTACAAAGAGAATTTCTCCTTAAATGCAAGAAACCTATAAACCAAAAAGTGTAAGAATCCATTTTAGAAAGAAGAAAGAACGTTTCCCCTAGGTATCAGCAGTTTCATAATTTGGGGTTTGGGGGCTTTGGGAGGACCAGGAATCTGAAGCACCACTAGGGGGCAGCACTTCTAAAGGCAATTTTTGATTCTTGGTCAGTAAATCTTGTGTCTCAAACCAAGGTACTGTTCTGCTGCCTTGGAGATGCTGGATGGATCCTGAAACCTCATCCAAGTCTCAGATGTCAAAGCAGTATAAACATTCTGCCAACTGTTTTGCGTGTCATTTTGGCTGTGTCTGAACTGTGCCCATCACCTGGTGCCCTGACTACTCTGCTTCCCTTCTGCCAGGTGGCCGCCTCCGGAGAGGGCTCCGCCATCAGTGGCTATCTCAGCCGGTGTAAGAAAGGCAAGAGGCACTGGAAGAAGCTCTGGTTTGTCATCAAAGGCAAAGTACTCTACACCTACATGGCCAGTGAGGTAGTAGTGGTTCGTGCTTTCTCCTCTCTCTTGTGGGAAGGCTCGAAAGTTAAGCTCGAGCCTCAGAATGTCCATGTGGGGTATGTACCATGCCTTGCCACCTCAAGGCAGTGTGAAGCCTGATGCTGCTTCCAGGTCCCATGTCAGTCAAGTCTACTGAGCAATGCCATGTGCTGAGCATTGCTGTGGACACACAACTGCGTGTCCACCCCACATCTGTGTGGAGATAAGGCAGTACAGCATACAGACCTGTGCACCAAAGCATTGGAATGTCACAGACCCAGCATGCAGTATGAGCCCAGCACTCTGTAAGAGAAAGCTGCTATCTGCTCTCCACTTCAGTTGTTTGGGACAAAATTCAACAGGTTGAAGGACGCTACCACATGTTTTTCTGTGTATTTCTTTTACTAGGGAATTATGTTGCCTTGTATTAACTCTTCCATTAAGTAAAACTTGTTTATACTTTCATAGAACATCTTACATCTTCTAAAATATAGGAAAAAGCCCTGGCTGGCGTAGCTGAGTGGATTGAGCGTGGGCTGTGAACCAAAGCATCGCAGGTTCGATTCCCAGCCAGGGCACATGCCTGGGTTGCAGGCCATGACTCCCAGCAACCACACATTGATGTTTCTCTCTCTCTCCCTCCCTTCCCTCTCTAAAAATAAATAAATATATCTAAAAAAATAAAAATAAAAAATATAATATAGGCAAGAAGGCCTCAGAAACCAAGCTTCCTACTGGACTAGACAGTGTGGGCTGTGATTCTGCAGCAGGGGACTGCCTGGTCCTGACCTGGGCTGGACTTGTAGGATAATGTGAGAGATTTCCATGTCCAGGCCCCACCGTATGGTAGCTTCCACAGGCTAAATAAATTTGCTTTAAAAATGGAATTTGAATGCATCCTGCCCAGCTGCCAAGGGTGGGTGCTACACCCCATGAGGATGTGCACAGAGGGTGTGCATCTGAGGGCAAGGGAGCGTAGATGTTGGCAAGTGAGCAAAAGCAATTTCCTTCTTCGGGACATAAAGCTTCCCTCACAAAAGACCCACAGCTGTGACGGCTGCAGTGAGCCTTGTCCTCAGGAATTCCAGAGGCCAGCAGGGACACATACAGAGGGGACTCACTATGGGCCTGAGCGACTCTGGACCCTGTGAGGAGAGTCAAGCCCTCCTCAAGGTGCTCCTTTGCTCACGTGTCCACAAATGGGGCATTCTATGCTGGGGAGAATTTTGATCTTTCCAGAACAAACTGAAACGTGATGTGCTATCCTTCCGCAGCCCAGGGCAGCATCTTCCTGAGCAGACATTCCACAGTTCACTGCAGGGGTTCTCTAAAAACGGGGTTCTGAGGCAGCCCTGGGTAGGCAGTGAGTGGGACTTCCTCACGGTGGTACTTCTCAGAATCTCTCATGTGAAGCCATGTTGTGGATCTCTAAGATGTGGAGATTTCTCAAGCTTGCCTGACCACAGGCCATTCCTTATGGAGCATCACACAGAACTGTTGTTGCACAGAACACACATTAGGAAGAAATTCTGACTTAAATGAACAAAGGCTAGTGATAATTAAATAACAACCAAAGACAGGTGAGCCCTGTCTGAGAATGGAAAACCCAAAGTCTTTGGGATGTCTTGGAAGTGACAACATAAGTTGATTTTAAAAGATGAATTAAAATATGCTTCCAAAATAGTTTCTCCCAGAGACAGGAACTTGTACAATTTCTCAATAAGCATAGTCAAGTGATAGGACCAGCTTTAAATTCCATCAAAGCAAAAGGATTGGTAACGTGGACAGCCAGTGGTCACTGTCTATACTGCTGTGAGCATGCCGTGTCCCTGAGCTGACCAAAGCCAATGCAACTTGCTATTCAATAGTCCTGGGAGAAGGTGACTACCAGAAATATAAAGGAATCTTTTTTTTTTAAGATTTTTTAAAAAGATTTTATTTATTTTTTAGAGAGGGAAGTGAGGGAGAAAGAGAGAGAGAGAGAGAAACATCAATGTGCGGTTGCTGGGGGCCGTGGCCTGCAACCCAGGCATGTGTCCTGACTGGGAATTGAACCTGCAATGCTTTGGTTTGCAGCCTGCGCTCAATCCACTGAGCTATGCCAGCCAGGGCAATATAAAGGAATCTTGTTTCTTTTTTCAAACACTTTATTATTTAGTTAATATATATCATTTTATCATAAAAATTTCAAAGATATGTTGAATTTCCAGTAAACTATCATATATTCGTGAACTAGATCATACAATTAACATTTTACTATCCTTCCTTGACCAAGTATCTATTTACTCATCCCTCTTCCATCTTACTTTTTGATGCTCTTCAAAGTATATTTCCCCCTAAGAGTTCAGTATTTATGCATCTTTTTTTCCTGTAAGGTACAGTTTACATAAAGTGCACAAATAGGATCCTGTTTGATGGGCTTTGATCATGCATATACCTATGAATTTCCACCTCACTCCTGTCCCAGAGACAGCATACCATTCTGGTTTTTTCCCACCATAGATAAGTTTTGCCTCTTTTAGAATTTCCTATGAATGGAATCACACGTGACTTCTTCCACTCAGCATGATGCTTTTATAACTCAGTCACATCATGGGTAGAAATAGGTCATTCCTTTTTATGGCTAAATAGTATTCCATTTCATGAATATACTATTTATCCATTCACTAGTTGAAGGACATTTGGGTTGTTTCCTGTTTGGGGTAATTATTAATAAAGCCACTTCAAACATTTGCATACAGGTTTTTGTGTGAAAATAGGTTTTTATTTCACTTTGGGTAAATACCTAGACTTGGAATTCCTGGATCATAGACGCGTATGTGTTTGGTATATAATAACCAGACCTTTTTCCAAAATGGTGTACCAGTTTACAATCCCCCCAGCAATGTATGTAAACATGGGAGTTCTGGTTGCTCCATGTTTGTCCACACTTGGTATTGTCAGTCTGTAACTTTAGCCATTCTGTGAAGATGTAGTAGTACCTCAATGTTTTGTTTTGTTTTGAATAAGAGAAAGTTTACTTAGAAAGTCACGGAGGTAACAGAAGGACCCTTGGAGCTTAGGAGAAAGAGGGAGAGAGATACATGCCTTGAGGGATGAACGAAGGAGAAGACGCATGGGAGTGGCTCTGGAACAGAGTGAGCACACCCTGGAGAAAGAAGGGGGTTGTGGGCAAGGCACAGATGTGTTCCATAGGGTAGATGGTCAGTTATTTTAGATTCTCCTAATGACTAATGATATTTTTGTGTACTTTTTGGCCATTCATTTATTTCCCTTTGAGAAGTGTTTGTTAGCTCTCTTGACTGTTTTCTAAAGTAGGTTGTCTTCCTGTTATTGTTACAGGAGTTCTTTATATGTCTTGGATACCACCAGTCTTTTGTCAGATAAATGTCTGTGGCTTGCCTGTTCATTTTCTTAATGAATGAATGAATCTTCTGGTGAACAAAAGTGCATAACCTCAGTAAAATCTAATTTACCTATGTTTTCCTTTATGGCTGTTAATTTCCGTGTCTTAAGAAACCTTTGTCTGCTGAAAGTCAGTGATTCCCCTGCATTTCTTCTGAAAACTGTTTAAGCTTTAACATTTAAGTCTGTTCAAGTCAGTTGTTGTGTATGGTGGTGAGATAGGGGTCAAGGTTTATTTTTTTCCATGGGGTTATCCAGTTGTTCCAACACCATTTGTTGAAAAGATTTTCCTTTCCCTATTGGATTATTTGGGTGTCTTTGTTACATACCACATAACTGAGTAAGTATGGGTTAACTTCTGGGCTACTTTATTTCACTATATATTTTACCAATCTTTAGCCAGTACCATACTGTCTTAATTACTATAACTTTATAATAAGTCTTGAAGTAAGATTGTGTCAATCCTCCAACTTTGTTCTTTTCAAGATTATTTTGAGTATTCTAGGTCTTTTTTGTTTCCACATAAACGTGTCAATTTCTACAAAATGCCTGCTGAGATTAAGATAGGGATTGGTAAATTAATTTCAAATTGTTAAAACAATTTGGGGAGAATTGGCATCTTAACAATATTGAATCTTCCTATTCATGAACATGGTATTAATTCTTATTTCTCTTTTAATGTTTTATAGTTTTTAGTATAGAGGTCTTACAATTGTGTTCTTGCATTTCTGTTAACTTTACTCCTATTTTATTCCTACATATAAATTCTACTCGTTGAATTTTATGTTCTAGTTGTTTGTTGCTACTATATTAATATTTTTAAAATGATTATTCTATGACATTACTAAATTCATTATTAGTTTTAGTAGTTGTTTTGTCCTTTGTAAGCACAGATAGTTTTGCTTCTTTCCTGATCTTTGTCTTTTATTTTTCTTAATGCAATGGCTAGGACCTGCAGAACAGTGTTGAACTTCATTGATAAGAGTGAACACCCTCTTGCCATGTGCCCAGTCTTAAGGGATAAGCATTCAGTTTGTCACTATTAAGTATGATGTTGGCTGTACGTATTTTATAGATGTGCTTTGTCAGATTAAGGAAGTTCCCTTCTCTTGCTAGGTGCTGAGTTTTTATCATGAATGGATGTTGAATTTTGTCAAATATTTGTTCTGATCTAGCAATCTTTGAAAAATGATTTCCTTTTATACACAAAATCTCCCTTCCACCATTCTGATGTGCTTAATTATATCTTTGTTTGAATGTCATTTTATAAAATTGTATTATTTATGAACAAGTATTTTTACATAAATGGGTGTATATAAAATCTTTATATACAAAGACTCTTTCTTTTTTCACCAAGTATTACGATTTTAAGATCTGTTTTCTGAGTGCATCCCATTTCATTGTCAGCACCTTCACAGCACAAATACTGCAAGTGCTCCATACTGAAGCCCTGTGAATGAGGACACAGGGCAGTGAGTACAGAATAAGTTATCAGAAGGGCAGTGAGTACAGAATAAGTTATCAGAAGTAACTCTAGTCCTAGCTGGTGTAGCTCAGTAGTTGGAGTGTCATCCCATAACTGAAGGGTTGTGGGTTCAATTCCCAGTCAAGGTACACACCTACCTGGGTTGTGGGTTCATTCCCGGTCCAGGTGCAGACACGTGCAACCCCATCAGGACATGTAAGATCCCTGGTCCCTCTGTGGATCCCCAGTCTGGGTGCCTACAACTGATCAATGCTTCTCTCCCGTCAGTGTTTCTCTTTCCTTTCCTCTCTCTGAAAAAACAAATGAAAATGTCCTCCGGGGAGGAGAAAAAGAAGTAATTCTGGAAAACTAGCTGAGTCACTGATTAACTGGTTACTTTTTTTTTTTTTTGAAGATTTTATCACTGAGTAATTGAATCAGTGGAAAGAATGTGGGATTAGAAGCTGATCATGAATCCAAATTCTGGCTCCGCCCCTGTGTGATTACTGTGTGATCTTCAGGAGTTATTTACCTTCTCTGAGTTTCCATTTCTTCTTAGAATGAGGGTGATGTTTTCTATGATTGCTATGAAAATTAAACAAGATAATGTGAAGATGCAGATGCCTGGACCCTAATAGGCTGTCACAAAATGATAAACAACTTTTCTTCTTCACGCCTGGTCCTGGCAGACAGTAGGAATGAAGAGTATATGTGTGGTTATTTCACTGTGTCCAAGGCATGTCCCAACATAAGGGCTCATCATGTACCTCCAATTGGAGGTATCAGTGAATGCTAATAAGCTGTTAACTGTGTATAGTGCTCTTTTTAATATCAGTTTTTCCTTCTGTTCTCCACAGGACACAGTGGCCATGGAGAGTATGCCTCTGCTAGGGTTCACCATTGCCCCAGAAAAGGAAGAGGGCAGCAGTGAAGTAGGACCTGTTTTTCACCTTTACCACAAGAAAACCCTATTTTATAGCTTCAAAGCAGAGGATACCAATTCAGCTCAGAGGTACTAACTGCTAGTCCTGTATTTCCTTGCCTCTCTCTCAGAAGGAAATGAGTTGTTACCTGGGGCTTTGGTTTCTCCAGTCATCCTATAGCATCAAGTCCCTTTGAGCCACAGTAGAATAGCAGAACTGCCTGTTCTTAATTGTGCAACTTTTAAAGATTACGATTTATTCACACAGGCATGCATTGACTCAGCAAACCTTTGTGCTGTGTTCTAGGCCTTTTGCTAAATGCTGGGGAAACCAATAAGTATGAATATGACGTGGTTCCTGGTCTTAGGCTAGTAGTAATTTAGTCACTTACAGGTTCTGTGACCAGGGCCACAGGCTCAGGCATGACACCAAGTGTCTCCTCTCTTTTGTTTTACAGGTGGATCGAGGCCATGGAAGATGCAAGTGTGTTATAGCAGTTACCAAGCATGTGGACTCAGAATAAACTCTTAGGTTGATATGTGAACCCTTCCAGAAGCCAGTCTGTGGCTCCACTCGTCTGAACACAGCTTGGATTCAGCACGAGGGCTTGACCTTTGCTGCTGGAATCTGCTCACTCACACCTTCACAAGTGGAGCCCTTAAGGGATATTTATGGACAGTTCCTTTCTTGTCTTCGTGTTTGCCACCCTACCCCACCCCAGCATAAACTGTTTCCTTACCCAGCAGTGAGCTAAAATCCAATAAATAACATGAAGACACGGAAACCACAGAAAAGTACATTTTAGAAATGCAGGCTTTTTAGTAGAAACACGCTTTTTCAATTTTTATTCTTGGTTAACATTGTCACCTTTCATATTATTGATTTCAGTGCCTCAGGTGAAACAAGAAACAACCAATTAATAACACCTACTACTCTCATCGAAAGCACTTTATTGTTTTACTGAGCTACAACCTCCAGTTTTATGTTTCCAAGTGATTTACTTAAGTAAATATCAGATAAGAGTCCTGTGGACTAATTTGCCACCAGTACAAGGGTGTACAGAAAACTGACTTACACAAACTTGGCTGTGGTGACACTGGGAGGGGAGTGTCCTCCCTACCACCGACGAACACAGCACTGGATAGGAAGGTGAGGATTCCCCCCTCTGTTTGATCCTGCGACCTGTACACTGACCTCTTAAAGGGACTCCCTCCTTCCCACAGCGTCTCATCACTGCACCAGTGCTAGAAGCTTGGCTGCTGGCAGATTCAGCCCTTGCCCCAGAAGTCACTGCAAACCCTCCAAAGAGACAGGGTCTGCTTTAATTTATTGTGTGCCTTCCTGAGTTTTACCCTACATGAGCTGACAGCATTATGTTTATGAAAACCTGTTCTTATTTTCAACCCAGTAATCTTTTATGTACTACCAAAACCCTGAGATAAAAAGAGAGACGACAAGATAGGGTCAGCAGGTGAATTTGTGGTCTTGGCCAGTGGCTCTGGACATAGTGAGGGAGCACAGAAGTAGTGGCTTGAAGATACTCTAGGTGCCTGGGGCTCAGTCACCTCCTGCTGCTGACTGTTGCTCATTATGCTGGAAGTATTTTTACATAAAGCAAATTGGATGGGAGGGCGGGTGGGATTCCTTGTTGTTATCAAAATAAAAAACAATCATATCATTTTCTGATGTCTTGTCCCTCTCCTCCTGCTGCCCATTCCCTAAACAAAGGCATTTGTGGACAAACCTTTTATAAAAAGCAACATCTCAAGGAGTTATTTACGTTAAATGTTTTCAGGGGAAGTTTCTTTCTAGTTCTTTTAAAATGTTTGCATTACATATGTAATGATTTTAAGTGATTAGACAGGTCTTTAATTAACTTTTGATAGGTTAATTCCAATGGAATCATTTTCATCATCAGGCAGTGGAAGTTTTCCCAGCCTTCTGTGTGCCACCACCCATTGTCAGTTTCTAAGCTCCAGGTAGAATTGTGTCTAGAAGCCATTTGAAGGCATCTTTTACCACATAATATCCTATTTCTGAGACACTGTAAAGAGGTAATAGGGCTTGCATTTCTCCGTGAGTAGTTACCCTAATAAAAATACCTGGATGATAGGTCAAATACACTCAGTGTGTTTTGTAGAACAAGTGGCAGGGGCCGTCAAGATACGCCACAGCTTGTGTGTCACTGGACAAGGACATGCCTGTTTTCACCTGTCTTTCCTGTGGTTGTGTACTTGTTTCAGCCAGTTTCTCCTGGCCAGCATCACACCTTGTCCCTTCCCTGCCCTTCTCTTCCTCCTGCCAGTTCTACATGTCCTTGTCACCTGGCTTCCCATGGGGCCTTCTCAACTGGCCCGAGGACACTCCTTCCCACTAGGCCTGGAAGCAGAGATATGGCCAGCTTTGACACCTGCCTGAGGCCCCCATGGTGTCTGCTTTGCCCCTGCCCCCTGGGCACAGAGCAGCCCCTACATTGTGCCTCTGGCAAAGGCTGTGTTTTTGGAGAGGAAGTAGTATTCTGCCAACCTGTGGCTCCAAAATTAGAACTCAGGCCCAGAGCAAGTCACTTACTTCAGAATCTCTGAGCTTTGGTGTCTTTATCTGTCACATGGAGGACCATTCCAGCTTCCCAAAGAGTGAAGTGGATCAAGTGCAAACTGAATGTGCACTTGACTGAACAAGTGGACTGAAGACCACAAACCTGTGGGGAAGGGCACAGCATGGTTATAAGTGAAAATACAATCATGGGCCCTGCTCTGTGACAATACAAAATGAAGACAATATGCAAAAAAGACCTGCCTTATCCTTGAAAATGGCAAGAAGGAAACCAGCCCTGGGGAGGGCCTGGAATGGGCAGCATGAACTCCCTTCATCAGGTCCTTTCTTCCATTTGCTCTCACTGGCCTCTCCCTGAGCTCTTCACACGCGGATCAGGTTGGCCTCTGCCTGCTTCTCAAAATCAGTAAAATTTCATAATACTCAGTATTTTACTTAAAGCTGGCAGCACTTACGTTATGGTGGCTTCACACCTTCCCTCTAGACTGAATGTCTTTCCAGCCTGGATTAGTCTTAGTAGGAAGAATTCTGTTGATCATTACTAATACAAACCACACTAGAAACACACTAGTGTCCAAGGGTATTGATGGAGTTCCTGGGTCCTAATCATAATTCTTTTACATGTCAGAAATACACTGAGTTGTTCTGGTCAGGCTGACAGACCACTCACCCTCCCTCGGATGCAGCGTAGTCCTGCATACAGGTGTAGAGTGAGGGGCTGATGCTTAGGTTGGCCTTTAGACATGCACCGTGCAAGCCAGTGTCAAGGACCCTGACAGCCCAGCTACAGCCACCAGAAGATGATATGGTTAGAATCCTTTCTTCATCTAATTCAGCCTTCATTTGATTGACAATGCAGATGTCATCACTGAACACCGAAACCCTAAATGGAGACTGAGGCCACCTGGGCCAAGGAATAGTAGGGCCAGGCTGGAACACAAGTTTTTTTCTGCTACAGAGCAAAGTAACAACATGCCAGAATATTCTTTAAATTGATTAAGTCTGTGATTTGCAGATTCTGTGATCAGATAAACTTCAGTGCTTCCATGCATTAATGGTCAGTTGTCCATTTTCAAGAGCAAGTATGAAAGGAAACCAACCTCATACTGACTTAAACAATTACTTGGGCAGGTTCTGGGTTAGAGTATCCCGAAGAACAAATCTCTGGGTTTCTCCCACTGTCATGACTGGTGAGAACCAGAGCTGGTTCCCAGGGGGCTGGTTGGTGACTACCACTGATGGTTGGGGCTACAGGTTCGCCCGTTCACAGCCACCATGTAGGAAGAGTTGTTTCCTGTAGCTAGCTTTCTTAGAAGCACCCAGCAGGCCTTCTACACCACTTCAGGACACTTATGCCTGCCCTCTCCTGAGATAGTCACTTCTCAGTGACTGTCTCATGACCGGCACAGACAAGGTAAGCTGGACAGTGGAGGTGGGCTGGCTGCTAGGGATTCACTTGTATCTACCCTTCTGAAAAGAAGACTGGTTTGGATTAGCATAGTGAAAGGGCTATGCCTTGCCATTGATTTGGGGAATTATTTCAGTGATAGTATAACTTACAGGGCAATTATTTTGGCATTTACTATATATGTTTGCTAAATATTACTGTAAGTGGTATTGGGGAAGCTGGTTTGATGTTACTGATCTTTTAAGCTCCTAACCAAACACAACTGTTAAGTCAGCCACCAAACAGTACCAACTTCTCACAGGCTCCTAGAAGACTTTGGTGTGATTATTAGCAAGAAATAATAGCATCTCTGCATGAAGTATTCTAAGTGCCTTAACCCTGTTATTTAATTCTCATCGGGACCTTCTGAGGTGAATTCTATTATTATTCCCATTTTGCAGATGAGGAAAATGGGGGTTAGAAACATTAGGTCACTTATCCAGGGTCACACACTCATAATTGGCAAAGCCCACACTTATAACTGCTTCATTGTAATGCTTCCCTTGATTATTTGTGAGCTGATAGTATGAGTGACTTCCTGACACCTGCATTGTTTATTCTTTCCTAAAATTGACAGAAATCTCCAACTGCAGAGGACCAAGCAATAAGATTTTTTCCTCTCAAGTTACAACAAACCTAAGTCCAAGCAAAATTATTTTTTAAAAAGATTTTTAGCCCTGGCTGGCGTAGCTCAGTGGATTGAGCTCGGGCTGCGAACCAGAGTGTCGTAGGTTCGATTCCCAGTCAGGGCACATGCCTGGGTTGCAGGCCATGACCCCCAGCAACCACACATGGATGTTTCTCTCTCTCTCTTTCTCCCTCTCTTCCCTCTCTAAAAATAAATAAATAAAATTAAAAAAAAAAGATTTTTAGAGAGGTGAAGGGAAGAAGATAAAGGAGAAAGAGGGGGAGAGAAACATCAATGTGTGGTTGCCTCTTGAGCGCCCCCCAACAGGGACCCAGCCTGCAACCCAGGCATGCACCCCGACAGGGAGTTGACCCAGCAACCCCCTGGTTGGCACGCAGTCTAGCACTCAATCCACTGAGCCACACCAGCTAGGGCTAAAATTATTAAATGTTATCACATATATACAATCCATGTACATAACCTAATATTCTTTCAATACATTATAACAAGAAGTTCTATTTTTCTGCAATTATATGCACAAGATCTATTTCAACTGCAGATGGGAATCTGGATATTTAAAACCCAAAGTACACATGCTTTAAATTTTAAATATATGCTCCAGGTGTTAACAATTGACATGTTAGGATGAACACTCACTCAACTATGGAGGATTTTTAAGGTAAGTGACTTCAGGGGTTCAGCACATTTTTCTCACCTAAAGGAACATTATCAGAATTTCTAAGATTTATAAATAACCTAAAAATTGATCACTTACTATTCTCAAACCCTTTAAGAATTTGCACTATATAGTGAAAAGACAAGCCCAAAGGTTATAATGAATGTGTCCTATAAGAATTAACAATAAGTCTCATTTTCGGAAGAAAGCCATTATACTCTTGCCACACCAGTTCCAACAGGAAGAGAGCACATGTTCACAGAACATCTCTGTACCTGCCCCCCACCAGAAGGGTGGGGATTGCATCCCCAAAAAAGGAGTATTATTTTCAGAAATGAAATCCAGCTAATACACACCCTGGAGCCTGTCAGCTATGTCAAGTCAGAGCAGTGTCTGGGGTGAGACCACAAATTTGCAACATTCTGCAATCAGAACCTTGACACTCTACCAACGCTACCCATGACAGTCAAGCTGATGGGGAAGTGGAGAGGAACAGCCTGAGGAAGAGCTGGCTCATAGAGACTGCTGTGTAGATTCAGACCCTAGCCTATGACCTGAGACAGCCACCCCCAAGTCTAATTCAGCTCCTCCCATGACCCATACCTCTCCTCCTGGCATCTCCCTCTTGGTAGGGCCCAGGCATCTGCAGTGCCTGCAAGTGCCTCAGGAGACTGTACATGGGCAGACTGGTTATATGGGGTTGGGAGAGTCTAGGAAGGTTTCATAGAGGAGGTGGTAGCTCAGCTGCCCCTTGAACAAGAGCCAACATTTAGCTTAGTCCTTGGCAATCATCTCAGCTTGTTGCCAGACTGAGTCTGTGGTAGAAATGCCAGTTTACAAGGGTATATCTGCAGTGTTCATTCAGATCCTTTCTGAAGAAGACAGACCCAAGAATGTCTGAAATGACACAGGCATGAGAGCTGGCACTAATATCATCAGACAAGACCACAAAACACCTCTTAGAATTCAACATTATGCCAAACATTCTAAGAAATACATGGCCAAAGTAGTGAATATTTGAGGGGACAACCAGTCTAAGTGAGGCACAGGACTACTACAATGGTGGTGCCCAGCCAGTATAACATCCCCTTCCACAGAACTCTTCTCTGGAGAAGCTTAATGACTGTATGGATATCCTTGTGATGTCCTCCCTGGTGATCACAGGATTCTCCAGAAAAAGTTCTCTACAAGAGATTGAGAAATCTCTTCCTTATATAGACCATTTGATGGTGTCTTATGGGAAAGGGCATCATCCTGTGTTGACAGCAGCGTGATAGCAGGCCTCCTTCTCTACCTTGATCGTGTTTCATGGATGCCATTATGACAGAGTCTGTGTAGAGAGGCAGCACTTTCCCAGGAGGGAAAGGCTTACACAAAACAAAATCTGTATTAAGAAAGCACCAAAAACAGAAAAAAGAAATCACCATAAACAAGATTTTTAGGCCTGTTTTTTGAAGTTCTGGGAGTGGGTTATGAAATCAACGCAATGGGTCACAACCACCCCCCTAGCCCTAAAGATAACGAGTATATCCATTGTCCTTAAAGACTATTTCATGACATCTCTGTTTCAATCGTGTGTCAGTATACATATGGTATACTGACTGTTGATTGTAAAATGTATATATACTTATAGATCGTGGTCAAAAATTCTTAAGTGACTAGTTTAAGAGTATCAGGTAAGAACAAAAAAAGAGGTCCTGGCTGGGTAGTTCAGTTTGTTACAGCATCATCCTGATACACCAAGGTTGTGGGTTCGATCTCCAGTCAGGGCACAACAAGTGGAACAACAAATTGATGGTCCTCTCTCCTCCCCCTTTCCTCTTTCTCTAAGATCAGTAAAGATTAAAAACAGAAAAAAGAAAAAAAGAAAAAGCATAAGGTTGCAGTCAGACATATATAAGCCCAAACAAAAGACTTTATTAAGGTCACATTCAAATGTAATGACATATTTCCAGTTTTACTTTTTGAATGCTTCAAAAATATTACAAGGGGGAAAAAGTATAACATTCATGGTAAAGACACATCATAAAGATACATTTTGCTCAGGAAATAAATGCTGTAGTAATTAGGGAAAACCCTATTATAGGTATGTATAAATTATAAAATTCTCCAGGAGCTGAGAGTTGCAAATATTACAGAGCTTTAAAATAATAATATGTCCTGGCTAGTATGGCTCAGTTGGCTGGAACACTGTCCTGTACACCAAAGGTTGGGGATTCAATTCCTGATCAGGGCACATACCTCGGTTGTGGGTTCAATCCCTAGTTGGGATGCATATGGGAGGCACCCAGTCGATGTTTCTCACATCGATGTTTCTATCCCTCTCCCTTCCTCTCTAAAATCAAACATATTAAAAATAAATAAAATAATGTTTTATGCCAGGGTCCCTAACGCATGTTAGTACTTTTTATAAACCATGACTACT